GACTGCAGGCTCTGGCGTAGGCCTTCAGGAACTGACAGTTGAGTCCGTCCACTGCAGGATATTTACACAAAGTGTCGGTGCAGGCGGTTATGTAGGGCTCTGGGTCAATGTCAGTGTTACAGGAGGAGAAGGGCGCCTCCTTCAGGAGATTACAGCTGTACCACAGATAAAAAAACAAAAACAAAACATTAATGAGAATAAAATAAGCATCTGTGATCAGGTGTTTTTATCTTCCATCTGTGCTGAAGTCACATTGTTAGGTAAATTTTGATAATAGTTGTCATTTTTCTACTTAAATTTGTAAGCCTTGGTTCAAACTGTATGATCAACAACATTCTTCTGTTTCCATCCTCCTCCCGGCCTACATCTAGGTGGGGGAGGTAATTGGTTATAGTGTTTAACTGCAGAAACCCTATGTGAAGGTTCTCTGTTTACTTCTTGCCATTTATAACCTCACCTGTGCTTGTGTACCATTAGAGGAGTTAAGCCATACACAGGGTGAGGGGAGATGATCCTTTGTGATCAGGAAGTTACACACACATGCTCAATGCCTTAGTTTAATGACATTTTATGGCGCACCACAGGGAGGTTTAACAGTGGCTGTTTGGGAAACTGTGTGTGAGAGAATAAAAGGCTGCAGGGGAGGCTGGTTCTTTTGGAGTCGTCTGAGGTCGAGGGCAAAAGTGCTGCTCTGAGGATCCGACCAGACTCCCCTTACTAGCAAGTAAAGAACGGTTAAGCTGTTTGTCTTGCTTTGTTAACGGGTGATAAGTCTTTGAACCAGCGGGGTCTGCGAGGTGCAGACACAACACACATAATTTAAGTATAATACAGAAAGATGGTGGATGGCACTCAACCTTCTTAATTTTAATGAAAAAAGAAGAAAGACAGAGGTCATGATTTTAGATCTTTCCTCTTTGGTCCTGCATAAAAAGTCCAGCATCACCAATTTAGTTGTGAAAATAGACCCCAGCCTTAAACATGACTCATATGTCAACCCTGTGGTTAAGTCCCCCTCCTAGAAACCACCTAGACACTTTGATCCATGTGTTCGTGACCTGTTGTCTGGATTATTGTAATTCTCTTTTGACTGGAATTAGCCAGGCCCCCCTCTCATTCTACAATTGTTACAAAATAGCGCTGCATGATTTTTAACTGGTACAAGTAAACAAGGGCACAGAAAGAAAAAGAGTCTGGACTTTTTTAAGTTGCTTGAGGACGTTTGACCTCACATTCAAGAAGGTTCTTCAGTTCTAGGGTCAAGCGGTGGAGAGTCCCAGATTTAAGACCTGTGGGAGTATCCCCCAAGAGGGACAATCGACCCCCTAATGATCCTCTACCTAATCACATGAGCAAGGTGTGAAAACGGGTGTGGGTCACAATCAGCCAGGGTTTTGGGTGAGCTGTCCCCACGCCAAGGTGTGAAGACCAGTGCTGGGCAAGTTACTTTGAAAAAGTAATTAATTATAGTCAGTATTGGTCAAGTTACGTGAAAAAATTAATCAGTAACTAATTACTGATTACTTCCCCCCAAAAATAATCCCGTTACTTTACTGATTACTTATTTTCAAAAGTAATTAATTACTTAGTTACTTAGTTACTTTTTAAAAACACGATTTACAACCTGAATAGGTGATAAAGCGATAGATCTTTCAGCCCAATTCTACTTTTTCTACATAATCCATCATACAAAATGTAATCAAATGGAAAAGTCTCTTTTTAAAACTTGTTTTATTAGTTTTAATCTTTTAACTTTATGCATCAAGCAAAAATTTAATTATATGCAACATTCTCTGACTGGAAGAAATTAGTTTAACATTTAAACCTATTTTCTGCACATTCCAGCACATAAAATAAAATATTTTTTGTGTTTACACTCAGTCTTTCAAATAGATGCAAGTAAAACACAGCAGAAAATAAATAAAGTCAAAGACTCAGCGGTCCTGTTGCTCTATTTTCACCTGTAAAGCAGGAGTGGGGTAGGCGGAGGTTTACCCTGGTGCAGGTGTGCCGCGGTCAGTGGAAGAATCCGCGAGTTTCTCTGTGAGTTTCCCATTACGTCGTTGCGCACTCGGTGCTTGCTTGGAAGTTTAGGGTTTTTTTCGCTGTAAAAAGAAGTTTTCTTCCCACGCACAATGGACGCTAATGTTTTTGTCACTTTTTATGGAATCAAACTCAAAGTAAGGTCAGTACTTCCACGCTTTAAACGCTGCACGCTCATACTCTCTCCCACAATCGATATGTGATCCATTGTTGATCTGCACACAGCTGTTGTCGCACTCGCTTACGTCACTGTCATGAGACATTCTCGCAAAAAAATCACGGTTTTAGAAACGCAGTAACGCAGCGTTCCTACGGGAAAGTAACAGTAATCAAATTACCGTTTTTGCATGACCGTTACAAGTAACGCGGTACTGCCCATTTCTGATTATAGTTACTAGTTACATCTTCAAAAAAGTAACAGAGTTAGTAACTGAGTTACAAGATTCTAAAAGTAATGAATTACTTGAAAAGCAACTATTGCGTTACTTTAAAAAGGTTATAACTGGACATTTTAACTACTTTTGATTTTACCTCTACATTTCACCTTTAAAAACTATTTACTTTGTCTTGTTTAGTATCATCCTTTTCAGCACAACCTCAAGTGTCTGAATTTACAGTTGTTTTCATTTTGACATACTGTATTAACACAATTGATCTAAAATCATACAAAAATCATAAAATCTGAGTAGAAAAATCTATATTATTTACTGTAACAACCGCAAACAATTCTGTTGAATCATATTTCATAACTTTAAATGCAAATATAAATTGGCAATTTTAAAATCATATGCACAGTTACTTGCAGCCATTTACCCAGATTAATTATGTAGGCCGCTACTTCCGTGCAGCTGATAGAAGGTGTGGTAAGCTGAACACAGCTTCAACCGATGTTTGTTGAAAAATAGTAACATGACTGCATTTTCTTGTTAGTAACAGTAACGGCGTTGTAACAATAGAAATAGTAATTAGTTAGATTACTCGTTACTGAAAAAAGTAACGCCGTTAGTAATGCCGTCATTTCCATCACTGGTGAGACGAGTGTAGGAAGAAAAAAAAAGCCAAGGTTTTGGGTGAGTTCGCTGTGAAACCTGGCCCCACCCTATCATGTAATTTCTTAGGGTCAAAAGGCCCAGGATGTGAGTGGGCGTTAAGGCGTCTGGGAAGGGATGTCAGAGCTGGATTATAGATGGCAGACAGCTGGTATCGTAAACCCCCGCCTCTGTTCAAAGATGGTCGCTCACAGTGGACATAGATGGCTTCTTTCACTCCTCTTTCAAACCATCTGTCCTCTCTGTCCAAAATGTGAACATGTTCAGATCTGAGCATTCCTCATTGCACTGTACAGCACACACTACATTATTAAGTTTGTGTTTAGGAGTTCTTGCATTTGGGAAGTTTTTGTCTGAGTGTGTTGCTGGGCCTGAAGTACATTGAAGTACATCTCTCTCCTTTCACTCTCTACACGATGCCTGGGCGCAGCTCATTGTAGGCTCCCGCCCCTGGCCTTCACCACCTGCAAGCAATCACCTGTGGCTCCTCACCTCGTTTGCTCTCACTACTTAGTGATTGAGAGCACCTCGTCTGGACTATTGAGTAACGCTCGTCAGTGCTACTTTAGCCTAAGCCAATTTTGAGTACTCTTCTCATTGTTAATTCCTCATCTCTGTGTGCAGATCCTTCGTGCCCTGTTTGGAAGTTTGGACACCGAAGCCTATTTGTGAGTACGGCAGTGAGAGTGGCGGGTGTGAGAAAAGGACCATTCCAAGAGAATTGTGCTGTTCGTGTGGAGCTGTGCGAGAGAGGACGTTTCCTGATTCTTCCCTGTACCCCTGGGAACCTTGGACCCTTTCCCCTCACCTGTATATAGTGCACCGGGAGTGTGTAAATAAAATTTAAGTTTCTGTAATTTTTCAGTCTGCGCCTGAGTCCTCCCAGTTCCATCGTGACAAAGTTCAAGTAATGTATTCTTATTTCTTAATTTAAAATAACGCAAAATCAGACTTTAGTTTGCAGTACCGTATTTTTCGGACCACAAGGCACACCGGATTGCAAGGCGCATTAAGTGAAACAAAGCAGTCAGATAGGTCAAACTTTACTCAACTCATTCTTCTTGCTTCCTCCACTTCCGTACCATTCATTAATATTGAAGTCTCTCACAGCTGCTCTATTCCCATGTTGTTGAAGTATATTATTTTCACAGCACGTAGATTGTCTCTGGATATTTTCTCTCGTCTTGCAAGAATTTGCTGCAGCGTGGGTTGTGTTGGTTTAGAAGTGTGGGTAAACTCCTCGTACTCATTGTCATGTTGGGATTTTAGGTGCTTGATTAAATTACTTGTGTTAAATGCGCTACCTTTAGAGCCTCCTCTGGACAATTTCGCTGAGCACAATTTGCAGTCCGCCTTTGTTTTCGCGTCTTCGTTCACTTTGAAATAGTTCCACACGGCTGACATGTCTCGCCTCGCCTTCTCCCCGCTCTGAGCTGCAGCCGGGGCCTGGGGGCGGGCACTCGGCGCCTGTGATTAACCCCTTACATGCCGCTCAAACATAGACAGTTTCTCAGACCGTGGTATCGGTCTCCGGTATCAGGGGACTTTTAACGAGTACTTTAGAAAATGTGGTATCGAGGCCGATAAGATAGATAGATAGATAGATAGATAGATACACACACACACACACACACACACACACACACACACACACACACACACACACACACACCTGTGTGTCATTTCCTCTTTAGGTCAGTTACGATTGTTTGGGCAGTTGTTTGGTTTGTTAAGTTTGCAGTTTTGCCTGAGTTCAGTTTTGTTTCTTTGACCTCTTTTATGACTCAACATTTATTACTTTTGTAAATATAATTGGGGGTTAAATAAATGAAAACCATATTTTTTTAATAATCCTTGACTCCTGCTTTTTTAACTCGGTCCATCACAATGTTGTTTTATTTTTTATAGTATGTAATTATGTTTCATCTTATCCTATTGTGTTTTTCTTAATTTTTACTGCTCTTAACTTGTGCTTTCTGCCGTGACCAAAAATATTTCCCACGTGTGGGACTAATAAACGTTTATTTTATCTTAACTTACAGCGATTTGATGTTTTGTTCTGGTTCTCTTATGTTTTTGTAATCAGATGTGTTTATCTTCTATCTGTGCTGCAGTTATATGTGATGTACCACAGAGATCAAGGTACAACACAGATGTTCCCTGCTGTGTGGATCAGTCTGCTCACCGTTCAGTCACACTGGTGCAGTCGATCGTGCTGTCAGCAGTCTCACTGTACTGCATCTCACAGCTAGGGGGCGACAAACAACAAAGTTCAGGCTCATTCATACAATACA